GCTTAAATTTCTCGTCAAATAAAACACGCCTATTGATAACAGAACCTGGCAGCTCGCACGTTGTCTAAATTCTAAAGTAACATAAAGTCCACAAAAGAATAAGTACGCCATGTATAAATTTTAACAATACATAAAAATAGAGCTTTCACACGAGCGTTTGTTTGGTTTTTCAACACCATTTATAATTTTCTTTTAATAAAATCACGATTTGACAAATACTTAAATTTATTTATCTAATAATAATACAGCACACAACCCTGAAATCTAAGAAAAAGTCCGAGGAAGGCCATTAAATAGCAGCACACAACCCCGTGCCTTCCTCAGGAGTGAATATAACTACAACAACAACGACTACTACAACAACAACCCAAAAAGGTTGGTTACTGTCTATACTGTGGGCCCAACAAGACATCCGATCGCCGCGCAAATACTTTCCATCCCCTACTTTCATCGTTCGGGTCAATTGTGAGTAAGCATAAACCAGTTTCAGCAAGCGTACGTAAACTACCGATCAATAGCAACACACGTAGAGTATTTACTTTGCCTTCCGCAACTACTGCGAGTAAAACGTATTTGACAGTAGAGTACTCTACTGGTAGTACTTGAGTATTTTCGAAGAAAACATACATTTTCTGGATCGCGCATTTGTGGTATCTGAAAAAAACTAAGGACAGGAATGTAGTGGAGCGATGAAGAGAGCGACGAGCAAAACGAACTTTCAACTAAAATGCTGATATACATACCTAAGTACATATGTATGTATGTGCATAGATACGTATGTGCATAGATACGTATTTGCATAGATACGTATGTGCATAGATACATATATATGTAAGTGTCCGCATATATTTTTTTTCGTCACTTGTTCTGTCGCTTCACTGCAGCAAAACCAAGTTGTGAGGAAAACCCTGACGATATGCGTAGAATTGAAACCATGGGTTCATACTAAATATATTTATGTATGCATGGACATATGTACATACATATGTTAAAATGTAGTTTCGATTTTAAAAAAATCGGATGAAGTTTTTCTTTCGCCATTCAAATTCAAAAACTATCTTGCATTTGGGTTTACTCAATACCAATTTGAGCTGTCGCAGTGTTATCAAAAAAAAAAAGTTATCAATAGGTAGGTTCAGAAGGCGCAGCAGTTGAGCGCAACCGTTGCTAAACAAAAATCAGTGATCGTTATGCGTCTTTTGAACGACTTCATACATTAGCTGTCAAATTCAACTCTCAAAGGTACACACCAACATGTTGTCTCAAATGATCAGAAAAATATTACGATCATCTAACACGCAACTATTCAGTTGATCAGAAGTACGCAACAACGCGTTCAGAAGGTGCAATCGCACCAGTTACTGAGCTGTTTCGCCTTCTGAACGTGCCAAATGAAAATTCGTTTCTCTTGAAATCAAGTTATATGGCTGCGTATGTATGTACATATGTATGTACATATTCCGAAATTTTTTTTATTTGTAAAGGCTCTCAAGAAAAACTAAAAATTCATATAAAATGTCCAACTATCGAATGTGAAAATCGGCACTTTTCAAAATTTTGATTTGCCACTAATAATTTTATTTCGTATAGCAGCATTGCTTAAGTTATTGTTTTTGACAACTTATTTGTTGGTTAATGACTGCAAATAGTTTTATAGAAAATTAGAGACGAGAAATAATACTTTCATAAAAATTTAAGTACATACATAGATTTAAAAAGCTGC